AGTGTTAGGAAAATGTTGTAATTGGCAATATGTGACCAAAGGACCAATTTGTCATGTTTGTAAAGTCAATGACTAAATTGTAAAGTTCTAATAGTTCAGGGACTTGTGTTGCAATTTTGTAAAGTTGATAGCATAGGTCTAGGGTAAAGTTGGATGCTTTGAAGATGCAAACGACGCGTTGATCTCGCTAGAGTTTGCCCTGACCTCGCTCGAGCCTAAATAACAGAACTATTGTCGCTAGAGTTTCGCTGAGGGTCGCTCGAGCGAAAGTGCGTCATCTTATGATTCATTGAAGAAAAACATCAACCTTCACAAAATCAAAACACCATTCAAATCTCCATATCAATTTCCAGAAGATCATCTGTTTGAAGATTCGGGAAGGAAACTGCTTGAAGAACTGGAGTGTTTGGTGATTCACTGGAAATAGAAGAAATTCAAGGATGAGATTTTGGCGCCGATCTGCAAAATCCAGGAGAGCTCTAGCTGATACAGTAAGGAGGTCAGAGTATTGTTAGAGTCAATAATGTCTGGCGTACTGTAAGTCGAAATCTTCTATAGTTGATACCTACTGGCTTGTGCCCGGAGTTTTTACCCAGTTGGGTTTTCTCCGTCAACATTTTGTTGCGTTTTTACTGCTTTCTGTTGTTTTGATTTCAACCGGCAATTCAACTTAGGTAGCTAAATTATGTGAATAAATCTGGACAAAGCGTAATTTATGTGACATGTTGCATAAGTTAATTAAATTGTTAAATTCTGCATAAACACCTATTCACCCCCCTCTAGGTGTTGTTTGGGTCGAACTATAGACTTTTCAGGTAGCCTCAACAAAATTAAAAGCGTAACTTCTAGATATTCTATTGAAAGTAAAAACTATAAAATGTAGCCAAAAATGGAATGGTTCAAGGTTGAACACTCACCAAAGACGATTAAATTGAACAAAGACGGTGGACTTTTGTCGAAAAATTTAGATACTGGTGTGGAATGCTCGGGGTTGCAATATTTGAAAGATTCTATGTACCTTGTAAGTTTTTTTGTAAGTGAAGAGTATTGCAGAATAAAGGAGCCATTGCAGAATAAAGGAGCCAACCTTTTATAATCGATGAAGACGAATCTCAGATACAATCAGCATTGTTTAGTCCGAGTGCTATGAACATTGGGCGTACGAGATGAGGCAATAAGTCTTAAGCATGACAGAAGCGCATCATCTTGAATTTCTAGAATCACCTGTTATATTACCCATAATGACTCAGGAGGCATATTCATTAGGAGTATCGACACCTCAATTGGACTGTCCTTGGAAATATGTGACAAATTTCACATCATTGATACAACAAAAAATATCTCATTACTCATCCTCAAGCAAGGACCTCGTCTCTGCTTCATTAGCTTTTCTTAAAGCTCCTATCTTTAAGAGTCTCATCCTCAAGTAATGACCTCACATTTTCTTCATTAGCTTGGGAGACCTCCTCTCTGCATTATTTGCATAACTACAAAAAGTAATTCAGTTCTTCCCTACAATTCAAATTTCATACATCATATAAATATCAATACATGGACTTGGAAGACTATTGTGTTGTGTTTAAAATGCACAACCAACAAACAAATAGTGAAACACTCCAAGCCAACCTAACACCATGACATAGAGGGGCTCACCTTCGACCTTACAATGAAAGTCCACATATTATATAAATATTTATATATGGACTCAGGGAACTATTATTAAGCCTCTTATGAAGAGGCTCCAGGCGATCGCCAACGTGGCATTTAGTTGACCAAGTCAATGAGGCCCGCACTATACGTCGCTTCCTACTTGGTTAAAGTGAGGTCATGCAAGGTAGCCGAAATGATGCATAAAAGGTGCCATGTCTTGGTCGACCCGTAGTGGCCGAGCTGAAGTATCATGTATGATGTAGGAAAGAAGTGCAAGGCTTGTTGTGTCCACATTACAAAGGGCATCCTCCATTTTCTCAAGAAATGCTCAAACACGTAAAAGCCAAGCCATATTAATAACTTAGAAGTACCTTGCGCATTGCATGCGCTAAGAACTAATAAATGTGATAAGTAACACATGTCTACACACGACACATCCTCGTTGGTCAACTAACTTGACATTTTACTGTATAACATGGGTATAGTGACAATGTTGAGTCAAACCCCTGCTTGACACCAATTGAAATTTAGATTTTAATCTAATTCAAAGTTATCTATTGATTTTCACCACATATTTTATGGATTCCACAATTTTTCATCACACATTTCATCAACTTCTATAAAAATTTACTAAAAATCTGATTTTAATCTCCACCAAACAGAGACCAAGTATGGCTCATGTTTTATTATGTTTTGGATAGAAGAACAAAGTTCTTTAATGCAAAAAAACAATTAATTGTATTCTTAATTTTATGTCTTTAAATTATGTTTTACTTGCTAAAGTTTTTATTTTTCTCAAATATACTTTAAAATCTCAATTTTATTTAAAATCAAAGCAAACTGAAAACTATAGACAAAATGACAATGAATCCAACCATTCTATAGACCACTTCGTTTTTCAAGCCAAGACTTGATGACACAAGTGCTGCAACCAACATCGCACCAGAAAACTACAATATCCATAAAGTCACTCTTCAAATAATTAATATTGATGTGTCTTTGAAATTTATAACATGTTCGGGAGTTTTTTTTATTTATCTATTTTTTAATTGCATCATTCCCTCAAATGAGATTCAAACTTAGGTCATTGATTGATTAGATCTTGATCTACGAGAATTGTTTATAATCATTTTAAATCGTAAGTTAATAGAAGTAGGTGAATTTTTCCCCACTTGATTTGGTTAAAATGAGATCTAAAGTATATTTGAATAAAAGTAATTCAAATACATGATTGAAAATTTGATAAAAGTTGTGAATTCAATGAAATTTGTGATTGAAAATGAAATTTAGAAAATAAATTTTAAAAAATAGGGTCAAAATTGAGTTAAGTAAGTACTATGCCCCGTTTGGTAATGAATAAAATTTAGATTTTAATTTAAATCAAAGTCAATAATTAATTTTAACCAAATATTTCATGAGATTTACAATTTTTTAATCACATATTTTATCAACTTTTATCAAAATCGAAATATGATTTTAATTTCCATCAAGCATGTGTTTGTGATTTCAATATGCTCGAAAAAGTGATTTAACGTATAATGAACTAGTTATAAGAGCATTTCCAATATAATTTTATTTATAAAGAGCATTCTATATATAATAAAAAATATCTTTAAACTTTAGTAAAAATTTTATGCACTTCAACAATGAACATGTATTGATTTCTTCTCATATCTTATTTAACATAATTTTTTTATATGTTAATGAATTTAAATGTAATTTGAATAGTTTAAATTGTAGAGTATCGGGATTTGTAACTTATGAAATGTAACTATTGACACTTAAAAATAGAGCATTAGCCCTTGTTTGAGCCCCAGTACGAAAAAAAACTTTGACCATATTAAAAGTTTAATTTAAAAAAATTAAAATTTTGACCGTATTAAAAAACATTGACCGTATTAAACTTTAAATTGGCCTTTTAAATAAAAAATGATGCACAAAACATAACAAAAAAGAAATAACTAACAATTAAAAATATAGGCCAAACATGTAAAAATATTATTATTATTATTATTATTAAAATTAATAAAATTGCAAGTTTCAATACTATATATATATAGAGAGAGAGGGAGAGGGAGAGGGAGAGGGAGGGAGAGAGAGAGAGAGAGAGAGGTGGAGTTAGTCCTATTGCTTTTTCATATTCAAGTTTTGCCTTTTAAAAAATGTAATAGAGTAATATGATTTTCTTTGAAATATCATCCTTTTTTAAAACACATTGCATGCATCAATTTAATTTATTCAAAAATTTGTTTTTTCAAATGTATTAACATAAAACAAGATTTGAGTTCGTATGTTCAAATTTTCAAAAATGCATACGTATACATATTGTTAATTGTTCAAATGAGATACTATGATTTTTTTTTTTATTTTTTTATTTTTTTGAGAAAAGTTCTATGAAAAAGTTACATTCACATTTTCATTTTTTAAAAATAATTTGCACGCATCAATTTAATTGATTTAAATGTTTTTTTTTATGTATTAACATAAACGAGCACGTTTGCATATAGTTAATTGTTTAAATGAGATATTTCGACTTTTTATAAAAAAATGTGATAGAATGTCACTTTTTCATAAAATAGTGACATTGTATCACTTTTTCGCATTTTTCTTTTTTCAAAGGTTTTGCATGCATCAATTTAATTGATTTAAATTCTTTTTTCATCTGTATTAATATAAAACAAGATTTGAATTCTTAAGTTAAAATTTTCAAAAATGCATATGTATGGATATAGTTAAATACTCAAATGATATAATGTAAATTTTTTGATAAAAGTGACAGAATACCACTTTTTTCATATTCTCCTTTTTGTGAAGCACCTTGCATGTATCATTTTAATTGATCCAAGCTAATTTTTCATATATATTGACACAATTCATTTTCTCTCAAGTTCAACAATGCTATTTTCCAAAATGTTTCCAATCATAATAAAAAATCATTAAAAGGAACTTCAAAAATGTTAATTATTTACATTGTAAGGTTTAAACTAAATCTAATCACGAAATTCAAATAAACGTGAAATGGATAATGAACTATGATGATTAGAATTTGTAAGCGAGAGATTTTATGGTTGTTACTTTCATAACATAATCTTAAAATAATAGAATTGGAGAACCGATTAAAGGAGTCTAAAACATAAAAAAAATCTATTATTTTATTTGTGTATATTTGGAAAATTTTCTTGATCTTTCTTCTAGAACTTTCAATGTTGAAGTAACATCGATTTTTTTTTTTTTTTTTTTACGTCCAATTTTAATTAATTACCATTTAATCCAAGTTTATCAATTTTTCTAAAACCTACACCAAAATATAGGGCAGTAGTGTAAGTACCCTGTAGAAATCCTAGCCCACTGCCCGCCCGTTTTCTCCTACACACACACACACTCTCTCTCTCTCATACACTCAGTTCCCACAATCTACCTCGCAAAACCCTCGCAAAACCGCAAACGTGCAACATGAGTTTCGCATCGTACAAGATGATGCATTTGCCTACTGGCGTCGAGCACTGTGCCTCAGGCTTTATATCTCATTCCGCCGCTGATTTCACTTCCCAAATTCACCCGGTCTCCGCCGACGACCTGGACTCCGAATGGCTCACTTCCACCAAGCCCGCTGGCCCAATACCCAACCTCATCACAGCTGCCGCCAATGTTCTCGAAATCTACACTGTCAGATTGCAGGAAGATTCATCTTCACCTGTGGACTCCAAGAATCTGGCCGAACCCAAGCGCGGCGGTGTCTTAGCAGGGATTTCTGGGGCATCCCTTGAGCTAGTTTGCCATTACAGGTTTTTCAAAAGATATGTTTTTATGTTATTTTTGAGATCTTTTTCTCCTACCTGGCTAATTTGGGGATTGGTGTCATGCTCTTCATCAACTTCAATTCTCTATTGATATCGAACTTTAAAGTGGTGGTCCGAAAGGGGTACCCTAATTAATGGACAGGCGACGAGTATAATTAGTACTGAACTGGAATTGGAACNATGTATGTAATAAAAAGTTGGAAATGGATTATCTTTTGTTTTGAATCTTGATATTGGGAAATCTAGTCAGGTGAATGGTATATTTTGGATAATTCTTAAAATGGCAGCACATGAAATTCTGCCCTGTTTGAGCCCCATGAATTTGAAGAAATGTATTATGGAATAGTGATTGATGGAGAATGTGTGGTAAAAAAAGAAGGAAAAGTTTTTGATTTGTGTGCATTATTATTTTAATGAAAAATGTGTGGTTAAAAACGAGTACTATAGAAAAAATAACGGGAAAGAATGTAAAGTAAAGAGTGACAAATAGGGGCTATGTAATATGGACGTGTTCTCTTTCTGAATTTCTAGAAACATGTGCTAGTCATATTTGGAAATGAGTGTGCTACAAACTTATCTTCATCATTTTGTGGGAGCTTTTGTTATGTGGTGTAGGTTTCGTGGCAATGTGGAGTTGTTGGGTGTGTAACCTTGTAGAGACATCTTCAAGAGGCTACTTAAAAGTGAAATGCTTTCTATTTTAAAGAGTATTAATCCAAAAAATTTCGTTCCAAGATACTCTTCAAATTAACATTTTAAAATAGAGAGTGGGTTTGAATCTCCAAATTTGGAGAGTTAAACTCACTTTCTATAATTAAATGCATTAAAAAAATTTCTATTGTCGATGCTCTATATATTGACCCAACAAAATAGTATATACAAAGAAAATGGATGGGTATAATATAGTGATTTGGAAGGAAGTTGATGATAATAAAAGATAGGGAAAAATAATAAAACATATTGGGAGTAGTAAAATTAAGTTTTAAAAATAAAGAGGCTGTTAGCGTATTTAAAATCCTTTACTATGCTCCCTAAATAGTAGAATATGCTCTTTCAAATTAGAGTCTCTTGGAGATACATTATTAAAAAGTTTAGAACTGAATTATCTTTTATTTTGAATTTGATAATGGGAAATCTAGTTACGTGAATGGTATATTTTAGATAATCCTTAAACCGGCAGCACATGAAATTATTCTGGATTTCTAGAAACAGGCGATAGTCATATTTGGAAATGAGTGTACTACAAACATATCTTCAACATTTTGTGGGTGCTTTTGTTTTGTGGTGTAGGTTGCATGGCAATGTAGAGTCATTGGGAGTGTTACCTTCTGGAGGCATTGATGGTGGAAGGAAGAGAGATGCTATTATATTGACTTTTCAAGATGCAAAGATTTCAGTCTTGGAGTTTGATGATTCAATACATGGGCTTCGCACTAGGTGAGTTTTGATCTTGTTAATGTGCTTCGCCCACCCTCGGGTGGGAGCAAATTCATTTTTTGATTCACCGGTGGTGGCAATGCCTTTATTGCCTCTTGAGTATATCGCTCTTCCTCAATTTAGGTTGATTTGCATTCTGAACTGTTTTATGGGGGGATTAGAAAATGCTTGCAAGTCAGGAGCTTTGAATAATTACAAATTATAGTTGTGAAGAGAATGCATATCGTTTGACTTGTCTTGTTAATGTGAGTTATACTTCTGAGTCTGTTTAGATAGTTGAGACGTAAGACACCTACTTCCTATTGGATTAACATTCAATGGCCTTGATGCAATTAAAAATTCTTTTTGCTTCTAGTGCTGTTTATTTCACATCAGTCTTTTATGGATGCTACTATATCCTGTTATTACTTCTTATATGGATATATGTTTTCTTCAGTTCAATGCACTGTTTTGAGGGTCCAGACTGGCTGTACTTGAAAAGAGGCAGAGAATGTTTTTCAAGAGGTCCACTGGTGAAGGTTGATCCACAGGGTAGATGTGCCAGTGTTCTTGTTTATGGACTACAGATGATAATTCTCAAGGCAGCCGAGGTTTCGTTTTACTGTCGTGTCCTATTCTCCTTTCGTTTTCTTTTTTGGCATATATCAACATCTGTCTAGTTAGTTGAACATTTTGCATATTTATTTGCCTTAACTAGTACCTGTTAATTCAAAAGTAAGGTAGTATGACCAGAAGTAGCAAAGATGAGAAGATAAAACTTTCTTGATCATGTGTGTGGCACTTTTAGACTTGAACTGATCAAAGATGATAAGATTTACCTGTTTGTTAGAAGCAATGGTAAAAAATTTATAGATTTAAATTTAAAATACTAGACTAATAAAACTGAACTGTAATTATCTCTCCTGTGTCCTGGCTGTGCTCTGTCTGTATATGAGTATTTTGTCCCATCTATAGTTTTCTAATCTTTTTATGCTATGATTATTTGCAGTGCCTAAACGCACTTACATCTATTTGTGGAATATTATAAACTCTTATAGACACGATCACTCTACGAAACTGCAAAATATAAAGATAATTCTATCTAACCTGCTGTTTTATGGTTGTGCTGTGCCGTGGAATTTGCTTATGGACAGAGAGCTTACTCTGATGTCATAAATGGATTTTATTGTCCTGTTTGTGAGCCGGTAGGTGTCGAGCTAAGTGTGGTTGGGAGCTATGGGAATGATAATATGACTTCTAAAAGAACTTGCATAATAAAATTTAAGAGTTGAAGGTTAATAATTTTTTTTTTTACAATTGGTCATATTAATTTATATAGCATTATATACCCTGCAATAAGAGGCACACATAAGGACTTGTCTTTTATACTAGCATCTCTGCACTGATTGTATTTTTTGTTTGTAGTTTTCAATTAGAGCAACTGAAGGTTTAGGCAGTTGACAATAGTTAATATAGACCAACTGAATGCTAAACCCTGTTGTAGCATGTTTGCTATGTGATTTGTGACATATATGAGGTTTTTGAATTTTGCCAACTTCCAAGATTTATTTGTATTTTTCATATAGACGATGTTTGAATTTAATTATGATATTTTGATGTTAGGTCAGTTCTGGTTTAGTCAGCGAGCACAATGCATTTAGTTCAGGTGCTACTGTTGCTTCCCGAATCGAGTCATCGTATATTATTGGCCTACGAGATCTTGACATGAAGCATGTCAAAGACTTTATATTTATACACGGTGAGAACACTTAACTTTGTTTTCTTTAATCAGATCACTTAGTTGATTAAGTATGAGTTAAGGGCCCAACACGGATGCTCTTGCATGAGGACTATATTTGTTGTAATATGCACCTTACTGAAATTAGTGCTCCTAACTTGTACATATTGCACTTTAGTCAATTAAGATTTTTTCTTTGAAATACGTTTTTAAGTTCAGCATCAAATTGTCTTCCTGCAGCATCCTATGGCAGGCATGTTTGCTTTTTTGGGATTGTTAATCAATGTAGGATACCATCAAAAAGCATTTTCTATTGGCTCTGATGTCCTTACTCTGATTTATATGTGATTACTATGTACAGATTGCTGGTCCAATATAAGTGGAAGAAGTCAGTAGTAGTTGGTCTTTAAGAATTTTTCATGTAGAAAATGTTGTAAGCCACCCTACTGATGTCAAAGGTGCCTAAAATGTAAAACTTTATCAATTTGCTGAATTGTCTTGAAAGGTTTAGGCAGTTGACAATAGTTAATATAGACCAACTGAATGCTAAACCCTGTTGTAGCATGTTTGCTATGTGATTTGTGACATATATGAGGTTTTTGAATTTTGCCAACTTTCAAGATTTATTTGTATTTTTCATATAGACTATGTTTGAATTTAATTATGATATTTTGATGTTAGGTCAGTTCTGGTTTAGTCAGCGAGCACAATGCATTTAGTTCAGGTGCTACTGTTGCTTCCCGAATCGAGTCATCGTATATTATTGGCCTACGAGATCTTGACATGAAGCATGTCAAAGACTTTATATTTATACACGGTGAGAACACTTAACTTTGTTTTCTTTAATCAGATCACTTAGTTGATTAAGTATGAGTTAAGGGCCCAACACGGATGCTCTTGCATGAGGACTATATTTGTTGTAATATGCACCTTACTGAAATTAGTGCTCCTAACTTGTACATATTGCACTTTAGTCAATTAAGATTTTTTCTTTGAAATACGTTTTTAAGTTCAGCATCAAATTGTCTTCCTGCAGCATCCTATGGCAGGCATGTTTGCTTTTTTGGGATTGTTAATCAATGTAGGATACCATCAAAAAGCATTTTCTATTGGCTCTGATGTCCTTACTCTGATTTATATGTGATTACTATGTACAGATTGCTGGTCCAATATAAGTGGAAGAAGTCAGTAGTAGTTGGTCTTTAAGAATTTTTCATGTAGAAAATGTTGTAAGCCACCCTACTGATGTCAAAGGTGCCTAAAATGTAAAACTTTATCAATTTGCTGAATTGTCTTGAAAAAGAAATTCTGCTTTCTGGCTGTGTTATAGGGAAAAGTAATTGTTCCGTTTCAAGTTCTTGCATTCTCACTCCTTTTTTTGATTTTGAAATGATATAGTTCCTAAATTCAGGCTACTAAAATGTGTGATGGATCTTCCATATTGACCATAAGACACAAATCATTTACAGGTTACATTGAGCCTGTCATGGTTATCCTACATGAACGAGAGCTTACTTGGGCTGGACGTGTCTCATGGAAGCATCATACCTGTACAATTTCTGCACTTAGCATCAGCACAACTTTGAAGCAGCATCCACTCATATGGTCGGCAACTGTAAGTTGTAATTTCAATATAATTCTCTGATTAGCTTTCTCAGGATTATTAATTTGAAATGTCAAAGAGATCTTATAAGGGCCATTACTTGTTCCATCTAAGATATTTTTCCTTTAATATGAAGATTTCCATACCAGTCATTTTCATTATGGTGATGGATATTTTCTTGTCCTAGAGCTTAGAATTGAGTTTATATCTGTATACTGCAAACTGTATCTTCTCTTTCTTTACTATGGACATTAATAAAACTACTTTCCATCCCATTTTAGTCATGCGTTTTCTGATTTGATAGTGGAATTCTTATGAGTTTCTATGCTATAAGTACCATCAAATGCACTCTGTCGGTCTCTTTTCACAAAGTATTCCTATTACTCTGATTTATATGTGATTACTATGTACAGATTGCTGGTCCAATATAAGTGGAAGAAGTCAGTAGTAGTTGGTCTTTAAGATTTTTCATGTAGAAAATGTTGTAAGCCACCCTACTGATGTCAAAGGTGCCTAAAATGTAAAACTTTATCAATTTGCTGAATTGTCTTGACGGCACTTGACATATCAGTAGAAATCATCAAATCAATCAAAATCAGGGACAACATCAGAAGTCATAAATCTCTATTTTATCTTTGTCCATGGGACATTATCAATAACATGAAGAGAATTCCCCCTTTTTTTTTAATTGGGATGGGGACCATGCACTTTGACTAGGAAAATAATAATAATTAGCCCTTGCTTTCATTTCGTATGAGTCCCATATTTTTCTCCATGATGTTATAAAGATCAACTGTTGGCTAGGAATTACAAAATCCAGTAGATGCAAAAGGGCCAACATTATAACCTAATAATTTATGCTTTAGCATCAGCACAACTTTGAAGCAGCATCCACTCATATGGTCGGCAACTGTAAGTTGTAATTTCAATATAATTCTCTGATTAGTTTTCTCAGGATTTCTCATTAATTTGAAATGTCAAAGAGATCTTATAAGGGCCATTACTTGTTCCATCTAAGATATTTTTCCTTTAATATGAAGATTTCCATACCAGTCATTTTCATTATGGTGATGGATATTTTCTTGTCCTAGAGCTTAGAATTGAGTTTATATCTGTATACTGCAAACTGTATCTTCTCTTTCTTTACTATGGACATTAATAAAACTACTTTCCATCCCATTTTAGTCATGCGTTTTCTGATTTGATAGTGGAATTCTTATGAGTTTCTATGCTATAAGTACCATCAAATGCACTCTGTCGGTCTCTTTTCACAAAGTATTCCTAAAAAACAAGTATCATTTTGGATGTAGCTATTCTAGCCCTGGAGGTCCCTGAAGTGACAATCAAAGTTTGTTTTGGCACTTGACATATCAGTAGAAATCATCAAATCAATCAAAATCAGGGACAACATCAGAAGTCATAAATCTCTATTTTATCTTTGTCCATGGGACATTATCAATAACATGAAGAAAATTCCCCCCTTTTTTTTAATTGGGATGGGGACCATGCACTTTGACTAGGAAAAGAATAATAATTAGCCCTTGCTTTCATTTCGTATGAGTCCCATATTTTTCTCCATGATGTTATAAAGATCAACTGTTGGCTAGGAATTACAAAATTCAGTAGATGCAAAAGGGCCAACATTATAACCTAATAATTTATGCTCCTTGAACAAAATGACAATCTTGTTTACAGCAATGTTATCTTTTTGTTGTAGGAAACTGAAAAATCTTTCATTGAAAGCATATTCTTTTTGACAAGCAAACGTTTCTTCATTTGAGCTGAAACTGATCGTCAATTAAATTTTTGTGGAAATATTCTTTCACTACAATATTGTAAGATGCTACTTGGTATGTGCTGAAACCAAGTATACAGGATATTTTCTTGTCCTAGAGCTTAGAATTGAGTTTATATCTGTATACTGCAAACTGTATCTTCTCTTTCTTTACTATGGACATTAATAAAACTACTTTCCATCCCATTTTAGTCATGCGTTTTCTGATTTGATAGTGGAATTCTTATGAGTTTCTATGCTATAAGTACCATCAAATGCACTCTGTCGGTCTCTTTTCACAAAGTATTCCTAAAAAACAAGTATCATTTTGGATGTAGCTATTCTAGCCCTGGAGGTCCCTGAAGTGACAATCAAAGTTTGTTTTGGCACTTGACATATCAGTAGAAATCATCAAATCAATCAAAATCAGGGACAACATCAGAAGTCATAAATCTCTATTTTATCTTTGTCCATGGGACATTATCAATAACATGAAGAAAATTCCCCCCTTTTTTTTAATTGGGATGGGGACCATGCACTTTGACTAGGAAAAGAATAATAATTAGCCCTTGCTTTCATTTCGTATGAGTCCCATATTTTTCTCCATGATGTTATAAAGATCAACTGTTGGCTAGGAATTACAAAATTCAGTAGATGCAAAAGGGCCAACATTATAACCTAATAATTTATGCTCCTTGAACAAAATGACAATCTTGTTTACAGCAATGTTATCTTTTTGTTGTAGGAAACTGAAAAATCTTTCATTGAAAGCATATTCTTTTTGACAAGCAAACGTTTCTTAATTTGAGCTGAAACTGATCGTCAATTAAATTTTTGTGGAAATATTCTTTCACTACAATATTGTAAGATGCTACTTGGCATGTGCTGAAACCAAGTATACGCTGGATTTTATAGTTCTTTTCTATTTTTAATTAGTGAAGGTATGGTTTCAATGTATTGAGGGATTGCAACCTTTGGAATACAGTTCTTGTATGCACAAAGTAAGCTAAAATGTTGGAAAACGTATGTTTGGCCCCCATTTTTTCAAAAAATTTAATTTTTTCAAAAATCATTTTCAACCATACATTCTTCCATAAAGTAATTTTATACATAAATTGAAAACTTTTCCTTATTTTTTAACTACACGTTCTCCTAAAAATCACTATTCAACAACACATTTTCTTACAATAATGGGGCTCAACAAGGGATTATTCTAAAACTACGTCCAAATATTCATGTAATCTAAGTTACTATGTTTAATTTTGGTCTGGATTTGGGTATTCAATGGCTTCAAGTATTGAATATTTGAATTCATATATTATCTTTTGTAGCTAAAAATCAGGATGCAAACTGGCCTTTATTGTGGAATTATTTAAGTTGTGGAAGACTTCATGTGAAATATGTTCGTTTTTTCTGTTTGATGTTTCAGAGTCTCCCTCATGATGCATACAAGCTCCTTGCAGTGCCATCTCCCATTGGTGGAGTTCTTATAATTGGTGCGAATACAATTCATTATCATAGTCAGGTTTGGCTCCTTGAAGTGCTGAAATTTTCCACTTCTACTCTGAATTGTCATTGGTTTTCTGTTGCTGCATGTCTTTCCTGCTCTTGATTTATTGATATTTTAATTGGGCAGTCAGCATCGTGTGCATTAGCATTGAACAATTTTGCAGTTCCTGTCAGTGGCAGGTGAGATGCAATGCCCCTCTCCTTTCTGCTCCTCTTCCTCCATACCAATATATTCAAGCGCACTCTCCTTTTCATCTGTTTTCAGGGTCTTCCTCTAAGAAGTTTATTTTGAGATTCTATACCAAATTATTACCACTTCTCTCTAACTGCTACTGCATCAGATTTTTTTAGCATACAATTATTTGAGTTTGTTTACCTAATATGTTACCATTTTTATAATATTTGGTTTAATTGTCTTAATGAGTTTCGGAGGAAGTCGGTTTTGTTTTGACTTTACTTGGAGGATTCTTTCCAGATAATGAAGGGATCAAAAGAACATCCTCTGAATTACATGCTATGCATATACATAATTAAGGGGTTGAATCTTAAGCCCGTGTTTGTTGCGCATTTTTGGAGAATGAAATGAGATTCTTGACTGTTGGAGCACACTGCTGAAGCCAACTGTAAGAGGCAAGTAAAAAATGTCATGCCATGTGGGGCCCTTCAACGGTGCTATTTCTTCTAAAATTGGAGGAAAAATGTGGCCGAAAAAGGGGCTAAATCTAGTTTAATATGGCTAATTGTTAACTGCTTCAGAGGACATTCCTATTAATTATTGTGGTTTCCTCTTTGTTGCTTATTGGAGAGCTTTTGACATTAAATACATCATGATTCTTTTATAGGACAGATTTTTTGTATTTTCCATTAGAACTCTGATGTTCTAGGTTGTTTTTTCTTTACAATTACCATAGCATATTTTAATGCATTAAGTTCTCTTATGTCCCTGTATATTGTATCTTGAGTGTAAATGAGTTTGCCCTTTTAAGGTGGTGGTGTTAACAAGGGTGTGTTATTTACTGCATTTTGGATAAATGTGATCTCTTAGCCTACCTTATTTGGTTAGTTAGTTCTAATGTGGATTGCTTTCCCTCATTCCAGTCCAGAGATGCCTAGATCTGGTTTTACTGTGGAGCTAGATGCTGCCAACGCAGCCTGGTTAACAAATGATGTTGCTATGTTCTCAACAAAATCTGGGGAACTGCTTTTACTGACTCTGGTTTACGATGGGAGGTTGGTGACTTGCTTTTTATTCATATATTTCTTTTTCTTCTTTTATCAGGACAGAATTTGGAACTTCTACTTTGTTGGGCATGCCCCTGATTGACTATACCCTGTAATAATGTTTGGTTTTATTTCTGTTTATTCTATGTTCTTAAAATTGAGAGTCATTTCATATATTTGGTTGTCCATGCAAGCCACCTTGTTGTTTTGACAACAAAAACAATTGCAAAAAACTTTGATCATATATTGTTTTGGAAAGGTTGAGATGTAGAAATGCTTTTAGGGTTCTTTGCTGCTGCATTATCTTTCTGGCATTTGGACCTTCTCCAGAATAGTCCCCTTTCACATGCTTTGGCATATAAAAGATCTTTTGTTTTACTTAGTCTGCAAGTCCTTAGTTTGTTTCCAAAATTCTTGCTACTTAATCTTTCAAGTAAAACTTCGGTTCTGTTGCACAAGTATGTTTTCTTTCTAAACCCTTAGTTGCTCAACTTACTTGTCTTGTGACTGCTTGTAAAATGTCAACAAACGAACTGTTACACTGCACCCAACTTTTTGAAGATTTTGAATTCCATGTGATAAAGCATTTGGGATTTTTATACCATAGATGTACTGAATGCATTGGCTGAGGTAAGGACATGATGCACAATGTTTCTGTCCCGACTCCTGCTTGCATCTTTTTCTTTACGGAAATTCTAGGACGTAAACTCAAAACTCTGCTTAGCAACTAATAGATGAAATGCATACATCAGTGATCAAGAATGAATGAATTTCTTACTGTTCTTGCTAAGTTGCTAACAAAATGCTGTGCTATATGTGGTTTCAAACTTCTGAATCTGGGTCGCAGTTTTGTTGAATGGTTTCAAGGTGTTTAAACAGTAAATCTTTCCTTGGTTTCTGGAAAATACTCAGCCGCATCCAACACTGGATTTCACAATGGACACATTTTAGAAATTGAAGTTGTCGTCTCAGGATCTCGAGTGGCTAACTTAATTTTTGGACATTTGATTATTATGTTACGATGACTGTATCCAAGCTTGGATACGTATCGGATACAGGTGCGTTATAAGTTTACAAGTAGGTGCTTCTTAGAGATAAATTTCCTTAAAACTGGCAGTCACAGGTAAATCATGGTTAGAGATCCACCGGTTGTTTGTTTACTAAAGCATTCAATTATGTATGTCCATCTTTCATACTTCCATTATTTATTTGATCCATTGTTATTTATTTGATCCATTGTTCACACCCTCTTATTGGCTTTAATAAACCATGAAAGGAAATTCTGCTTTATGAGATGTATATTTATTTGTATCTTTCCTTGCAGAATTGTTCAAAAACTCGATCTTTCGAAGTCAAGAGCTTCAGTACTTACTTCAGTGAGATATATTCTGAATTCCTTGTGCGATTTCTGTTGCACATTAGAAGCTATTCTTTTATATTTGCCGATCATTGTATTTATTCTTCTCCTCTGTTTATGCATAGGAAATCACAACTGTCGGAAACTCGTTATTTTTCTTGGGCAGTAGTTTGGGTGATAGTCTGCTTGTGCAATATAATTCTGGAGTAGGAGCCCCACCAGTGACTCCTGGAGTGAAGGAAGAGGCGTGTATTACTTTTATTTGTTCTAGAGCTTTTTGCCAATGAATTTCCTGTTTTGACAATTTTGACTATTTCTGTATTGGCTTATTACTACCATCTTTGCAGCTTTTTAAAGGAAATTATGTACATCTTTGTTTTTTGATTTAAAAGTTTTGCGCGTGTTAGGTGACTGAAAACTTGGTGTATATTGCTTCTTTTTTTTTTTAGGTTGAAGATATAGAAAGCGAGGCTCCTTTTGCAAAGAGGTTGAGAAGGTCTTCCTCTGATGCCTTGCAGGATATTGTAAGTGGCGAGGAGCTTTCTTTATATGGCGCAGGTCCGAATAATTCAGAGACTGCACAGGTTGATACATCATCTTCAGACATTGCTGGTCTTCATCTTTAGCCATTCGTAGCTTTCATTGGCATTTGATATTATGATATAGATCAGTTACATGAATCTGATGGTTTTCTTTTCTGTCAATGCCTCGTTTTTTGTGATCCATGCAGAAAACTTTCACTTTTGCAGTCAGGGATTCATTGGTTAATGTTGGTCCCTTGAAGGACTTTTCTCAAGGTTTGAGAACTAATGCTGATCCTAATGCTACAGGAATTGCAAAGCAAAGTAATTATGAACTGGTCAGTTCTAATTTATTTTCTAAACTTAAATAATGCTGTAGTTAACTTGGTTATGTGTCTTCGTCTATGGATAGATAGTTTAAGAACTAGTGTGCTGACTACTGCTTCGCGGAAGTTTTAATCCTTTAATTTGTCTTGTCATTCATCTTCTAGTATTATTTACTAAATTGATCTTGCAAACTTATAATCCTGTTATTTCAAATCATTCAGGTCATACATATTTATATCATGTATTTGAAATTTTCTTCAGGTGTGCTGTTCTGGCCATGGAAAGAATGGTGCACTCTCTGTGCTTCAGCAATCAGTCCGCCCAGAAACAATAACTCAAGTGCGTCTGGACTTTAATGCTTTTTACATGATTGTACATTCATGGTCCATTCCAATATTCATATATTATTTTGCTGATTTTTATCTAGTTTTTCTCCTTTTGTGGATGTTATGAAGCGTTTTTTAATCAATTTGTGAATACCCCCACTTAATATTAATAAGAATGCCATCATCTGGTATTTAAGTACGATAATTTTATGAACAAATTTCTGGTTCTTTCTCTCCATTGCTTTTGACCAGCATGTTTAATGTTCTCTATGTGAATAAATATTCATGGCCTGTTCCAATTCATATACATTCTTGCTGCTTTTTATCAAGTTTTTCTCTTCTGTGGAGTTGTGGTGAATTGTTTTTATTGTCAATTTATGAATACCACCACATAATATTAAGCCCCTATTTGCTGTAGCTAAAAATCTATTTTTTTTAGTAGATTTTGATTAAATTGATGAAATGTGGTTGAAAAGTTGTGGTGCAATGAAATGATCGATCAAAATTAATTGACTTTGACTTAAAAATTTTAATCCATATTTTAATCTACACCAAACAGGGGCTAATGTAAACTATATCATTTGGTAATAAAGTATGTTAAGTTTTATTTAAAGGAAAAAAGAGAGAACAAATTTCTGGTTCTTTCTCTAAGAGCAAGCAAAAAAAATTATATTTCTGACTCTTGCTGCCTTTGCTCTCAACACTCCCAGTAGAATCAGTATCAGTGACAGAACGATGTCAAAATAATTATGGTTGATGCTCTTTTATTACTTTCTTTGTATCCAGAATTGAATGTCCTTTTTTGATTTGGTGGTCAAATATGCTACATTTTAAGACACTATTACACATGTTCTTTTCCCGTTTTAGTTGATAAAGTTTCTAGTTCTTCTTGGATGGAAATTTCTATTTTGAGCCATGTATTCGATATAATCTTCTGATATTAGATAGCACGGTTATTTCTCTTTCCTTTTGATGAATTAATTTGTTTTAGTTTATAAAGCTTCTAGATCATCTTGTTCTCTTTATTCTTTAATTTGTATTCTATTATTGTCTTGGAAATCAATGAAATGTCTCTACTTTTGCTGATAATAAGTAGCAGTGTAGTACTAGTTTTTTCTTTCCATCTTAGTAAAATATAGTTATTACGTGCAAATATGTTTAGGTTCCCTGAGGTTGCACTCTCTGGCATTTCAGTGTATCATCTTTGGTCAAGAAACTTATTTTATATTTTTCAATAATTTTGAAGCCAATTGACTTGGATGGATCCTGAACTTTGTACATTAGAATTTGAAGTTCTCTGGAACATTTATCTTGTGCAGGTCATGTAACTTTTGAGCAGTTTTTTGATTTATATATCATAAACGTACTTTATAATCCTGATGCTTTTTATTTGTTAAGGAATCATTACCTGGTTGCAAGGGGATTTGGACTGTTTACCACAAGAATTCACGCAGTGATTCTTTGAAGATGGCAGCTGATGAAGATGAATATCATGCATATTTAATCATTAGTTTGGAGAATCGTACTATGGTGATCTCATTTATATTTCCCTATTCATCATAATCTTCTTACTAGATTTCATCGGTGAAACTCCTTTTATCATGGACTAGCTTTTTTATTTTGCTTGTGAAGTTTGAGAACTTTTTTCTTCCTTTGCTATAGGTGCTTCAAACAGCTAATAATCTCGAGGAGGTAACAGAAAATGTTGACTACTATGTGCAAGGTAGTACAGTTGCTGCAGGAAATTTATTCGGAAGGTATTCTTTTCGTTTTCCTTTGCCAGCTTGTAATATGTTTTTGGCTTATGGGGTTTCTGATTTTCAGTTGACCTTTAACTTCCACTCTCTATTTGACTTTTTCCTAGTACTATTTATGAATTTGTTTTGTTATGGTTCCTATGTTTTAATTTCTTTATTATTGTGCTCCTTCAATCTCAATAGTTTGGGAAAGAATAGATTATTGTATAATTCTATGGAAAACGGGTACATCGTGGAACATATCAAATGGAAGTAGGCATTCAAATTGAAACAAGGGTACTGCTAGATTAGGGTTCTGGCTTTCAAACGAATGGAATTGTTTCTGCTTAGATACGCTCAAACTTGGACATGAGGTTTTATAAAACCCCAATGGGGGGGGGGGGGGGGGGGGGGGGGGAATGAGTTTTGGGCCATTTGCATCTCATGGGTGGCTTGGGCCCTCAATATGCTGATCCTGATCTTTGGCCATGCCAGGCGAGCCAAGCCTGGCTTGTGGGCTTTGTGAGCCAGCTCACGTATTTAATTTTGTTAGTGCATTGATACGAGATTATATTTCTCATTTCTTACAGCTACATCTCTGGACTGTTGTGACTTATTTAGGCAAATTCACTCTCATTATTGACGGAATAGAATTCTTGTGAGTTGTGATGTATTCATAATTTGGAATCATAAGATGATAATGGCGTTTGACAACTTTTTAGATACTCTGTCAGTTCAGTTTCAGCTGCATCATGGTGTTCTCTTTCCTTGATTTCGAATATTTGAATAAGTGCCAATACTTAATTATGTAGAATAATTTTATTTCTTGAAGATATTTATAAATTTTATCTTTCAGACGTCGAGTTATCCAAGTCTTTGCTCGTGGTGCTCGGATCCTTGATGGTGGTTTTATGACTCAAGATTTGCTCTTTAAATCATCCTACTTAGAAGTTGGTGCAGGTTCTGAAGGCACAGTAGTTTCGTCAGTTTCTATTGCCGATCCATACGTGTTACTGAGAATGATTGATGGAAGTATTCAGCTTCTTGTTGGAGGTATTTCTTTTAGCCAATATAGTTTAGTTGGCTGTTATTTGTGTCAATAGAATAGAGGCAGGACCATCGAACGGAAGTCTGTAAATTTGTTATGTACTACTTAAAGACGTATGTTCTTGTCATTTTATTTAGGATTTTCAATGCTCATGTACATCCACTCTTGTTTTTGCTCTTTGGATTCATGCCTTTTGTTGGCCTTATGAAGCCAAATAATGTTGGCCTGTCATTCTGTCAAGTATAATGCAATTCAATTGTTTCCACGAGTAATAACGTTCAAAAATGGAAGGCTTAAGGGTGGGTGCTGAAATTGGTGGATCTCAACGTTTAAATAACTACTGGGGGATACATTAGTGGTAGTTAACAAACCATAGTTTGTTAACTCGACGGCCCAATGAGGCTTGTGTCTCACATTTGATTGTACAGTTGACGATTTAAACTTTACCTCTATTCTCACTGGGAATTTTGGCTACCTTAAGAGGGGTCTTAAATTTGGCCATCTGTTTTCAAGCATTTCAACTTGTTAAACTCTATATTCTCTCAGTTTTGGATTGGTTCTTATATCTGTGCCATTGGTTTTGTTCTTGTAGATCCATCTGCTTGCTCTGTTTCAATTATGATTCCGCCAGTATTCGAAAGCTCGAAGAAGTTGGTATCTTCTTGTACACTCTATCATGATAAAGGGCCTGAGCCGTGGCTCCGAAAGACGAGTACTGATGCTTGGCTTTCCACTGGCATGGGGGAGGCTATTGATGGGGCTGATGGTATAACCCATGATCAGGGTGATATATACTGTGTTGTTTGTTATGAAAGTGGAGCTCTTGAAATATTTGATGTGCCTAATTTCAGCAGTGTTTTTTCAGTGGATAAGTTTGTATCTGGAAAGACACACATTATAGATACCTTATTCCATGACCCAGCCAATAATCATGTAAAACCCACTAAAAAGGAATCTGAAGATGTTATCCACGACAAGAATGAAAACAGTCACAGTATCAAGGTTGTGGAGTTGGCCATGCAGAGATGGGAGTCACAACATAGCCGTCCTTTTCTATTTGGTGTATTGTCTGATGGAACCATTCTATGTTACCATGCTTATGTATATGAAGTGTCAGAAAGTGCTTCCAAAGTAGAGGATGTTTCTTCTCAGAGTATGGATCTTAGTGGTGTAAATGCATCTAGGCTTAGAAATTTAAGATTTGTCCGAGTCCCCTTGGACACATATGCAAAAGAGGAGACATCCTCTGAAACTTCATCCCAACGCATTACTTTTTTCAAGAATGTTGGTGGTTTACAAGGTTTATTCTTCTCTGGATCATGTCCTGCTTGGTTCATGATGTTTAGAGAACGGCTTCGTATCCATCCACAGGTTAGTATTTCAGCCAATCAGAGTAAGTTTCTGTATAAAAGCAATAAGTATACTCTAAAACCTTGGTGCTATCTACTTAATACACATTCGTGATTAACTTATAATTTATGAAATTCCGATAAGCACTCCCTCATCGATGTCCATTTCAGGTGTGTGATGGACCTATAGTTGCCTTCACTGTCCTTCACAACGTGAACTGCAATCATGGATTTATCTATGTAACCTTGCAGGTTAAATGATTGGTTAATTTTGTTTACCTCTGCCCTTTCTGATGTATTATTATTGATTTCTATATTTTCCTTCTTTCAGGGTGCCTTGAAAATTTGTCAACTTCCATCTTCATTATCCTATGACAACTATTGGCCAGTGCAGAAGGTAGTCGTTCATTTGTTTTATTCTTTCTATTTTGTTCTCAAGTTAATTGAGTACATCAACTTTATTTATCTTTGATGTGCTTATGTACAATGTCCTTTTTGTGGGGGTGGGGATGATGATGGTGGTGGCGGCGGCGGCAGATATCACTGAAGGGGACTCCACATCAAGTTACTTATTTCGCTGAGAAGAATTTATACCCGCTTATAGTTTCAGTTCCAGTAAGTGCATTCCTTTTGGCATATCAGTAATTTTTCACTTATTTTGTTAAACGAATGCAAGAATACACCCTATGTCAGAAATGGTGCCATTAGGAGCTGCATGGACCACAAGAATCAGTCATTCAATCTGGACAAAGTCCAAGTATTTATTTTACTATGATCTTGTCCTTAATGAACTCCACTATCACATTTCACAACTCTGCTGCTTCATGCTGTCATCTAGCTGAATGGGAATGAAATTTAAAGTACAAGATTGGGTCTAATGAATGCGGGATCCTTCATTCTTTCCCTGCAGGTTCTCAAGCCATTGAATCAAGTCATCTCGTCTCTGATTGACCAAGAAGCTGGCAATCAATTTGAGCATGATAATATGATTTTTGAAGGAACCTATCCTGTAGAAGAATTTGAAGTCCGGATTATGGAACCAGAAAAATCCAGTGGACCATGGAAAACAAGGGCTACGATTCCCATGCAAAGTTCTGAAAATGCTCTAACCGTACGGGTTGTTACATTATTTGTAAGTTTTACTTTGAGCTTAAACTTCTTTTAGTCTTATGCCCTTGTTCTTTTTATCGTTCATTGGTAAGTACACTGGTTTAGCATTTCATACCCTATAAAGAATACAAAAGTGATCTGTTCATTCATAATTTTCCATGTGTTATCTACATTCATAGAATACCTCAACACAAGGAAATGAAACACTTTTGGCAATTGGGACTGCTTATGTGCAAGGGGAAGATGTAGCCGCCAGAGGGCGTGTGCTCTTATATTCTGTTGAAAGTTCTGACAATGCTCAAGCCTCGGTAACCTGCTATTTTCAATTTTCCTTTCTGAGACTAAATTAGTTTACTAGACATCCAACATTTTACCAAGCGGATTACGTTTCGTCTACTGTTTAAGAAAGATTTGATTTGTAGAATGTAATCATGCTCAATTTATGTTATTCCTTCCAGGTAATAGAAGTTTACTCCAAGGAGTTGAAAGGTGCTATATCTGCTCTTGCATCACTTCAAGGTCATCTGTTGATTGCTTCAGGTCCTAAGATTATTTTACACAAGTGGACTGGTTCTGAGTTGACTGGTGTTGCCTTCTATGACGTTCCACCTCTTTATGTCGTGAGCTTAAATATTGTACGTACATTTTTAGGTTACCTGTTATAACTTTCCGCCCTATGGTTTGCCTGCTTAAATTTGTAGTCGGGATACAACTTTCTCAAGGTATAATAAAGTGACATAACTAACACATTTTTTTTTGAAAGCCTCGAATCACACTTTTTGCTTCGAATTCCAATTCCTAGATATTATTGCTTCATTTTAGTTCACAAGGTTTGGCTCTTTTTTTGGGAGAGCATATTGTTTGAACATTTCTTACATTAGCTTTTCTTTGTCTCAATTTAATCATGCTTTGCTACTTTCTGCTTGTATTAACTGATTAAATTCTTGGATCTTTTGTCTCCTTAGATTTTAGTTTGTGAAGCTTATTGTTTGATCAAATTCCACTGATTATTTTATATCCCTAGCACCTATTAGTTTCAATTTTTATGGTTATATTTCTATTCGTTCATTTTTTCATATTCTTCCTTTCTAAGATATATATGTTAAATCAGTTTACTTTGATCAGTCATGGTTATTTTCCTAAGATCCTTCGCAGGTTAAAAATTTCATTCTTGTTGGTGATATTCACAAAAGCATATACTTCCTTAGTTGGAAGGAACAGGGTTCTCAACTTAATTTATTGGCGAAGGATTTTGGATCACTTGATTGTTTAGCAACCGAGTTTTTGATCGATGGAAGCACACTCAGTCTGACAGTTTCAGATGATCAGAAGAATGTCCAGGTTAGCACCTGTCTGTTGTGTGAACTGTGGAATCTGTGAGCTTTAGTGGTTTTCTTGAAAAATTGTTGTGGTGGCTAAGCTTAATTTTCTTGTAGGAGTGAAAAGTTCTCCTATTGAAAAGGATCCAAAATAAAAACGTTGATTTGGTTTCTTAAAACAAAAATATAGTGTTCCTTGACACCATATGCTATAGTGTTACTTAGCATAAAACTATTTGAGTGACCTTTTTTTTTTTTTTTTTTTTTAAAAACAAACTCAAACCACTTTATTAAGAGATATCGCCCCCAACTGTAGGCTAGATAAACAATGGAGTGCAATCAATCCAATTAAAAGAAATTGTAGTAGTGGTAGCAAAGAAAGCAAGCTTATGAGCCACTATGTTCTCCATGCAGGGTGCATAGCAACAAGAGCCAACACCTAGTATTTATTTATTTATTTTGGGAAATAGCATCAGAGGTCCCCCAACGTTTTCATTAGAATAGCATTTAGAGCCCCCAAACAATTTTTCTTGGCATTTTGGTCCCTAAAATTCCATTTTTCTAGCACTTGCTCCCTGCAGATAGATCTGCCCATTTACATAGCTGCGTGATTGGCTTGTTACATACTGTCTAAAGGGTACAAATGGAAAAACACATATTGTTTCAATGAAAAATATAAGTAAAAAAGAAAAGGCAAAAAATAGTCCAACTTCTTTCTCACCTCGTAATATTAATTGCACCATAAATAATATTAAATTATATGCATTCATGTCATCTCCAATATAATTAATTGCTGTAGAAGAGCCACATTGTGTGACTTACAGTCAGATTGACCGTAAATCTGGATGTTTGTATGTAAAATGTAGATATTCTATTATGCTCCAAAAATGTCGGAAAGCTGGAAAGGACAAAAACTTCTTTCAAGGGCTGAGTTTCATGTTGGTGCCCACATCACTAAGTTCTTGCGGTTGCAGCTGCTTCCCACATCATCTGATCGAACCGCTCCTGGCTCGGATAAGACAAATCGCTTTGGCTTACTATTTGGCACCCTGGATGGCAGCATTGGCTGTATTGCACCTCTTGATGAACTCACTTTTCGCAGGCTTCAGTCACTGCAGAAAAAACTTGTAGATGCTGTTCCCCATGTTGCTGGGCTAAATCCAAGATCTTTTCGCCACTTTCGTTCAAATGGAAAGGCACATCGACCTGGTCCTGACAGCATTGTTGATTGTGAGCTGCTCTCTCAGTAAGTACTTTTGCTTACCCTGACATACCCACAGAAATAGCGTGCTTTGTGTTTTTTTTTTCTGATCGGTAAATGTAAATTTGTATTGGTCAAAATTTTTATACGGGTACTGGCATACCCAGGCTTACAAAAGTGACTTTACAAACGATATAAGCTGTAAAGACCTAAAGTCCCATAGCTAATGAATTTTGAATCAAAACATGAGGTTACAATGAAAACATAACTTTGTATACATGTGTTTTGATATGTCTCATGATGCATTCCGGATGTGGCTTTAGATCTTTAAAAATCTTCCTATTCTGAGCTATCCATATGTGATATGTCGTGCAAGCAACTGCAATTCTCTTGGCTTTGCTTTGCCAAGACAACCCATAGCATCCTTTGTTTTTCTGGCTTCTGTTAGCTGCGACCCTGTAACCCTAAGGTATCAACAAATGCTATATGCGGCATTTGTTTTGCTCGTCTAATGGTAGTGTTTTTCTTTAGCTGGCCAAATGTCAAAACCACGATTTAAATATGATTCAGAATATTATGATATGTCAAAACTATAAGATGAAATGTTAAGAAGTTACGATTTGAACTCCTATAATATGCTGGTCAAGGTCCCTTTGTAAATGATAAATTTGTTCGCTAAATCTAAAGCGACCTTAATTCTGGAACGCACGCTTTAAAATTTATCTTGAGGTCAATGGATTAAAATAGTCTTGATTGCAAGAATGATGTTCTCATTTATGTAATCACTTGTGTGCTTGGGTAATGCTAGCACTTGGTAACTTTCTGCTTCACTTGTCCATGATTTTTTAATACTCATTTGGCTATATTTGTACACTTGGATCTAATACCTTCTATAGATGACACAAGAAAGTGCTGATAAATTTGTGTCGGTAGTTCACCAATGTTGCTTGAAAGTAACAAATTTGATGAGCGTATTAAAGTTTAGTTCACGATATGTGCATCTGCTCTATGTTAACGTGTTCCTGCTCTCCGTCTCTCTCCCCATTATATATATTTCTTTTTGGGTTTTACTACTTCGGTCTTTCATGCTGATATAATGTTATCATATCTTCTATGTACCCGCGATTTTTCAGATATGAGATGCTCTCTCTGGAAGAGCAGCTCGATATTGCTCATCAGATTGGAACAACACGAAAGCAGATCATGTCAAACTTGAACGACCTCACTCTCAGCACAAGCTTCTTATGAGGCACGACCGGACAAAGCGTTGCTCAATTAAGTGTGGTAGCATTTGGTGTCAACTGCAAAATTAGCGACGACCGAACTGCCCCCATCAGCCACTCTTTTCCTTTTTAAATGTTTGGAAGATATTTCTTGTAAGATGCGGTACATGTACCATAAACGAGCCTTTGTGATCAGTTGTGTTCAGGATAGGAGTTGATGAATCTTCAACATTGAGTTTCTTATTATATGTACATATGTAATTTTCTCGTTCTAAGGTAATTTCTGTATCAACTTGCTCGGGTACGGGTAGCGTAGAAAGTAATTTTTTAAAACTAAAAATCAGGAATTGATTTGAAAACTAGTTAAGTTACGATCAACAAAATGAATAATTTGCGACTAATAAACAATGAGGCCTCATAAAATGTGTGGTTTGTTATTAAATCTAAAATTGTGACCTACAATTTGTGTTTGTAATTGGTAATTAAGTTCATATCAATTAATTTGATAATTTGTGATCGGTAAATAAGTTTTGAATTAAATTTGCAATTGTGATTCACATTTTATGTTTTTGTCACTGTGTCGTTCTGTGATTTGTGATACGTACGTAATTGTGATAATAAATTATATATTATTTTGATCTACAATTGTGTCTTTATAAATGTGACTCTCTGTGATTGTGATCACAAATTATGTTTTATTGTGAGTGTAACTTGTTTAATTAAATTATAGGTCATAAAATTTTATCAAAGGTCACAAAATGTGACTACATAATTTTGAAAAAAAATAAAATCATAATTTTAGTACGACGGAGAGACAAAATGTGAAGTGTAAGAGAGAAATAAATATAAAGAGAGAAAGTCGAAGGGAAGAGAGAAATAATAATTAAATAATATATAGTAGAGAGAAAAGTGTGAGGTGTACGCGAGAGAATGAGAAAGTGTGAAGTTTGGGAGACAGAAAGTGTCGGATGATCGAAACAATATTTAAATGATACATATTAGAATATGATATTATTGATGAAAATATCTTAAATTAACTTATTTCAGAAAATCTTAAAAATATATATAATATATCACCTGATTTTTAAAATGTATTTATAAGTTTGTTAGAAGTGAAATCGTATATTTAAAGTATCATATTTATCTCTCTCTTGAGCGTAAAAAGAAGGTATCGAATTCCATATTGAAAAACTGCAACAACTGTAAAACTTTAGAGTTAGTAATTTAATACTATTAGTTTACCATAACTTGCTACCATTAACCTAAGGATAGCTTTAGCAAGCTGCCAAGCCCACGACACATGGCCTCGATCATGGCCTGCAAAGGTCACACTGGATGCTTGAGAGCTGCACTTTGATAGCTCCCGAAGTAGATCATGACTTAATCATGCAAATAATTGAAGTCAAGGGGTTGCAGTTCAGGTGCCAAATTAGGGATAGAGTAATGTTATTCGCAGTCGCTCATTAGGTATGTAATTATCAATTAGATAGGCTAATCTAAAACCTCTTAGTCCACTCAAAGGAGCCCGAATGACAATCGGCCCAAGCCCAAACAACGTCCTATGCACAAGCATGTGGCCCGTGAATTTTTTTTTAAAAAAAATTAAAACAAGATTGAAGAGAGAGAGAGAGAGAGAGAGAACAACATGAGATCCATATTTATCTAGACTCCCATTTTAGTGTTATGAAAATAAAATTTTCTTTTACCCTTTTTTTGAGTGACAAATTTGTTCACGTGATGTTCCTAGTTATCTATGCAATTTAGTTTGATTATACATGTTACAGTAGCTAAACTAAACATTTTTATTTAAGGAAAAATTTATTCAAAATTTCCAATACATACTCAAATGAATCATCAAATCTCGTTTAAAATTTTCCGTCAAACACACTTTCTACTTACAATTTTGGTAATGAATACCCTCTCATCGAGGTCATTGGGGAAATATTGCCGAAAGATCCACAACTACAAGTTGTGTTCCTTCGTGGAAATTTATTCAAGACTAAATGAAAGTTTACGCAATACAAAATATATGAGCGTATAGAGTTCTTAACATATTCGAGGTACATTACACATTATTCCTGATGATTTATAAAATAATTTGTCTTTATGAAAATTGGAAATACCTTTGGAACAGGAAGCTCTTTTTAAAAAAATTTATCAGATAAAAATTAAGATAACTTTTTTCAAAAACTCTTTTGCAAGAAGTAAAAGTAAAAGTCATGCCAAATGGGTTATAATTCTCATTCCTCAGCAAAAAGAAAACAACGAAATAACATTTTAAAGAATAAAAGTTACAATTTCGACATTCGAACAAAAGAAATCAATCCTTGAGTGTCTATGTCTCCACTCTTCAAAATAACCAGGGATGGATCCAAAATTAAATTCAAGATTGGGTTATAAAATTTCAAACCGGGCTACTAAATGAAAAAAAAAAATAAAATTTACACATTAAAAACTGGTTTTTTACCAAAAAAAATAAAAAAATACCTTAAAAAAAAGTTGTTGGGCCTGGGGGGGGGGGGGGGGG